CTTTAGCATTGTTAATGTCAACAAATGGAACCTTATTGTAAAGTGTTACCAAGTCCACTATCAGGGCCTTGTTCTTGCTGACATTCACCTCTACTTCCTGTAGATAGGCTTTGTCTTGGCTGTCAGCATCAAACCCATCACAACAGAGCGAGAGAGAGCGAGATGACAGAGAAAAGGAAGAGGGTGGGGTGGAGGAAGAACAAACATGTCCCTTTGAGATAGACTCTAGTACTAATATTGACCAGCACGCTTCAGAAAACACAGACGCACGACTCCGCTACAGTAATGAAAGCCCCACAAAGGACCATCGACACGTTTTATCAGCAACCTGAATTAGCAGCGTCTGTTCACCTTGATTGCTAGTGTTCATATGTTTCACTTACACACACACACACACACACACACACACACTCACTCACCACTGCACATGCAATCAGCCAGCAAATAAGAGCATGTGGCACCCAAAAAAAAACACAAAACACATTTCATGTGCTCAGCAGGTACGAGTCCAACTATTAAAACGCACACAAATGCACATGAAAACACATACACGCATCACAAAGTTAAAGTTGGTGAGCTCATAAATTAGAAATGTCAGTTAAGATTTCATCAGAGGCTCCAGTCCGTCCATGTAATATTTTTCTGCCTAATAGATTTGAGCTGTCATTCATATCTGTAGCACAAACTTAAAGTGATACTCCAACCAAAAATGAAAATTCTGACATCATTTATGTCACCCTTATGTGGTTCCAAACCTCTATACATTTATTTCTACATAAAAGAAGATATTTTGTAGAATGTCAGTAATCAAACAGTTTCCCATTGACTTTAATTATATGGCTACACTGTCAGAAAAAAAGGTACAAAAGCTGTCACTGGGCTGGTAACTTACACTTTTGGACCTTTTATATCCCTAAAGGGTACATAGAACCTAAACTGTGCATACCAGTGACAGATTTTGTAGGCTAGGCTACATTTTTTTTCCTATAGGGTACAAAATACAATGGCAGTCAATGGGAATTGAAACTGTTTCTTTACCAACATTCTTCAAAATATCTGCTTCCATGTTCCACAGGGGGAAAAAATGCACCCAGGTTTCTAAAAACATGAGTGTGCCTAGCCTAAATGATGACAGATTGTTTTGTTTTTTTGGGTGAACATCCCTTGAATGAGCCACACATTAAGGTTTAATGCTTCTTATGTTTGATGAGACTCCTAACCTTAGGTATGAGCTATAATAATAATAATGACAATTGCCTTAGCAAACACCTTTTAAGTACGCAGGCGGTAGTTTGTGATGAGAGAATCAGGTTTTAGTGGGGCTGGAGGGAGGAATGCACAGAAACGTGAGTCACGTTTTTCCCAGGTTAAAACATCAGGGAGCCTCTAAGCTATGAGCAAGCTGTTCCTCTCTCTGAAACAGTTACTGTTTACTATTTATTGTGGCGCTGATAGGCTTTTAAGAAATGATAGCTCTTCCTGCACTTAAGATGGAAGCTGCTTTATTACCTCCTGAATGAATAAATGAATGAATAAATAGCTAGTCGAAAGAACAATTTAAGAATGTGAAGTTAGGGTATAAAATCAACATTAATCTGTTGAGATATGACATCTGAGTTTACATAAGTATCTTTTTGCAAAATAGATATGCTAGTTGAAAATTAAACTGCATGGACCGATATCAGGCAAGCCGATATTCAACCATTTTGAGATTATCAACTAATGAACATTACCGCCCTCTAGTGTCAGTTCAAATTAACCAACTCTTTTAATAAATAATAGACTTTTTGTTATCAATATTTGTAGTGAATTTTGAGCTAGAATTGTTTAGAATATGTCATTTTTTACAATATACATATATATGACATGATAAAGACTACCATGTGACACTTTGACGTGACAATCATGTGACACTGAGTAATGACTGCTGAAAATTCAGCTTTGACATCACAAGAATAAATGACATTTTATAATTTATTAAAACAGAAAATAGTTATTTAAAACTGTAATAATATTTATAATATTTCACAATATTACACAATATTACTTTTTATAGATTTTTTTTTACTGTATAGCCTATATATATGTGTGTGTGTGTGTGTGTGTGTGTGTGTGTGTGTGTATTGATCAAATAAATCCAGCATTGGTGAGAGAAAAAAAATTCATACATAAAATATATTAAAATAGAAAATAGTTATTCTAAATTAGAACCATATTTCATGTTATTTCTACTTTTCTGCGTTTTTATTAAATACATTTAATAAAACACACACACACACACACACACACACACACACGTTTGTTTCTGTGAATTGTGGGGACTTTCCATAGACTTCTATTACTTTTATACTGACCAAACAATATTTTTTATCACCTAACCCCAACCCTAACTCTTAACCTACCCCTTACAGAAAACCTGTTTGCATTGTTACACTTGCAGATAAACATCATTTACTATTTGTAATAATGTTTTTATTTATTATTTATTAAAATTTCAGGTTTTACTATCCTTGTGGGGACATTTGGTCCCCACAATGTAGCATAAACAAGTACACACACACACACACACACACATTTATTTATTTACTTGTAAAAAAAAAAGTCATGCATTGGCACAATTATTCATAATTGTCTAGAAAACTAATTTCACAGCAGAAATATAGAACCCTATATCAGATCAAGCACTATTCCTAAATGTCAAAAGAAGATTAAAGTTCACTGAGACGCCCTGAAAGTTAGTGTGAGTGTGTTTACAGGGTGAGTGACATGAGGATATGAGTTTTGACATTGCACAGATTGCATGTCCCTCAGTGAGCCCTGGGGTGGCAGAGGGGCTGGGATCAGCCTCTTCATGAGGCGGGGCAGCTGGGGTATAAGAGCGCGTGTGTGTGCATTTCAGGACAGGCTCACAGATGTGCGTGACGACCCCACGGCAAAGGAACTACTGTCGCTACGCACCACACATTGCATAGCAACCAGGTATAACATCAATCAGATAGGCCCAATTTTAATGTTTAGATGTAAAAGGTTATAAATTAATTAGCCAAAGGCAGAGACAAGGCTCTGGATAAACAAGAAACACAGTAATATCTGAATACAACTTCATTATAAAACTCCCTATGTATATGGTTCTTTTTATCACCTTCAAACCTGGTGCTGAATAAAACCATCAATCCACAGGTGACCTAACTAGCAAGTCACAATTTCCACACGTCCAATTTGTGAAAATGAACTGCACAGTCTCTAAATCAAATGAAGTGTTTAATGATATCATTGTGACTACAGTACACGTGACAGTGTGAGGCGGCTTTATGACCTTCGCTACATTAGGAGGTGTAGATGTGTTTATTTCCATGCAAACAAACTGTAATTGCACTACAGTAAAAAGACTAATCACACATCTCACAGCCCGGAAAATGGAAAGAAGCAAGTGATGAAAGGTGCAGAGGGGAACCAGAAAAACATATGGTAGTTGTCTATTCTGTCTGTTTTTCTTTTCGGAGAATTAAAAGGCTGTGAGGCAACGGAGGGATTTTCTCCTGCTAAAAAGTCAGAGCTGGAGGCTACACTGCGAACTAAGCCAAGCTCTGCCTTTCATCTGGCACAGCATCATTTTACACTGACAAACTGTGTACCTGCACTCATGTATTCGCTAAGCTGGTGTTAATTCAAAAGTCGCTACATAAAATACTGTCTTTGATCATTTTCATGTCATTTGTGCTCCAGACCTACATTTTATTGTAACTTGGCCAGAGCTGTATGACACACTAAACTCTTTAATTCATCTGCCAACATCTGAAAAACTCAGATGGTGTTTATCTGAATTAGGCCTATGCATGATTAAACACAAGGTGTCATGGTTATGTACATTTTTGTTTAAAACATCAAGATGAGTCTGAAGATTTACGTTTATTTTGTACATAATAAAAAATGAATTTTTTTTAACAAGCATGGCCTTTGAAGCAGAGTTACAAACAGCGTTATCTTGAGATTATTTATTCACACTTGACAGCTTAAAATGAAGTGTGATAAAAATATGTTAGGAATGGAACTCTTGCATGCACACTGTGCAGTGTTGCATACGATATGTTAAAAAATGTGATGATGCTTGTTTCAAATGTGTTATATTGTTATATGAACTCATCAGATTGTACCTTATCATAAGCAAAAACAACAAAAAAGCTAATTAGTTCATGAATAAATAAACAGTTATATCCTCCTGACTACCAGCTATGGAGTTTTGTCCTCTGTAGAGGACATTGTGTTGCATTTTAATCCAAATTTTTGTAAATTTAATTATAAATTAATAATAATATAATATAACGTAATATAATACATAAATCTACCACATCTCAAAGTAACACATATATTGAGATTTATTCACAATTGACATCTTAACATTAATTGTGAAAAAAATGTTTGGATTAGAAACTCTTGCATGCTGTGCAATGTACACATGCCTACTATATTTAGCTGTTCCAAATCATCGTGTATATTTATTTCAGTGAGTGGCATCCATTTACCATAAACAAAAAATAGTTAATTATTTCATGAATAAATATAGTTATATTGCATTTTAATCTAATAAATAAAATTAGAAAATAATTAAAAAGAAAAGAAAAAAAAACTATAAACAGCAAGACAAAGAGAAATACTTAGCTATGAAAACAAACAAGTGGAATGTCAAAACACAAATCTTGAAAAAGCATCTGTTTTTCTCAATCCAATTTTCTGTGGAAAAAAAGGGAGTAATAAAATATATTTTTTAAATAAAGAAAAAATAAAGCAAGAAATATTACACTTTGGAAACAAATACATCAAATGTCCAAGAAACACAAAACACAACTCTTTAAAAAGCGTCCACTGGCGCAGGGGTCACATGACCTGTGAAAACTCAGCCCAGCAGGACACCTACTAATACAACACTTTTCCTTGGAATAAAAACACTGAAAGATCTCCATATGTCCTGCTGTTTTGAACACATAACCAAACGAGAAAAAAAAAGTATTTGCACATAGTGTATATGACTCTCGTAAGATGAAATGAAACATTTTTTAAAACAGTAACAGTGTTGCCGAGTTCGCTCAAATAATCACATGCACAGCTGCCACCTGCTGGTGAAGAGCGGAACGTCTCTAATTGTTGTTCCCCCAATTAAACCAGTTTAAAAAAGTTACATAACAGATTCATTCATGCAGACATGAACAATTATACATTTAACAACTGTCTATAAAATCTTAATTGTGTAAGTATCAGCACCATCTCTGCTTAGGACTGAAATTTGAGCGCGCTGCGCAGAATCCGCCCCCTTCCCTCAAGCGTGTCCAGTAGTGTCTCCAGAGAGTCTTGAGCTTTATTTTAATGACCTTTGCTTGACTTTTCCACCAATTTACAGGTGTGCTATCACAGGTGGACAGCGACATGGAGGGACGGCAGCTACAGCAGGTGAAAGAGTTTATTTACAGCTAATATTTATAAACAGCACACTTGTTTTGCCAAACTTTGCGCAGTAACAATTTGACGCAACATGAGTTTATTCGCGTGTCATCCCAGTTTGGCGTTTGAGAGCACTTCAGCTCATCGGCATAACACGGAAAGCGTTACACCACCTCTCTAATTTGATTTCTGGCAGGTTTTGAACACGCAGAGACTGAAGTCACTACAAGAATGGATGCAGAAAAGCTCAATCACTTTAACACAGGTCAATGGGCAGAGGAAATATGGTGGTCCTCCTCCGGGTAAGTACTCCTGAATGGAACTGAGATGATCAGCCTTTTGCAATTAAAACACAACCTGTGGCATTTTAAGCTCTTTTATGTCTCATAGCATGAGACTGAAGTGTGGTGTGGATGAAGACAGAGCTGTAGCACATGGCCTCTTATTTTCCTTCATAACGTTCAGCAGAGCAGAAACAAGCCGTTTACTTTTCCTTTTAGAGGTTTTAGGAATAAATCTTCATCATCTTGGGTTTAAAGCAGCTTGTCATGTAGAACTGATACGAAAGTTTGAACCATGCCTCTTTTGTGCTTTGTCTTTACCTCCATTAAAACATGTACACCTGGAGCTCAATTAGACTTCAAGTCCTCATTGCTGCTCAATTATTGCTGATTGGATGGTTTTAATTATTGCTTGATGGAAATGATTAGTTCAAGATCCTTTTTAAAGTAAAATTTGTAGATGTGGGAACTTAAGTTCTAACGTGTTGATTCCTTTAGATATAAATAACTTGTTTAAATCAGACACCAACAGTGTTTTCTGCGTAAGTAATATCTCTTAGTTGTCACACTGTTAACTTCAGGAATATTATCCCTAATGAGTTTATTTTAAAAGTAATACATATATACATAGGTATGTATAAAATGCCTTTTAAATGTTACAAATCATGAGTGCATAGATGGTACTTCTAGTTTTTTCTCAACGAGTACGTCTAATTTTCAGCTTTGATCTGAGTCTCTGGTCAGTGCTTGTTATGTGATGTTTTCATCAGTTTTTCAGAGTATAATTGTACCTTTTAAAGGATCATATTGTGAGGATTTTTATTTGCCTTGATTTTTATATCTTCAAGAGCTTCGTGTACTATGAAATATATCTCAAACTCTATATGCATATATGTGTATGTCAGATCTTGACAGTCTGAGCATTTCAGTGTCCATGATGTTCATAATTTATTATGAGGGTTTTTTTGTCGACAGTTTGACTGCTAGTCGACATGAGTTCATGAAGCTTTAAAGTTTCAGCTTACCAGTGTTTTCGCTTATTTATATGGATTTATTTTTATTTATTAAAGCACTTTCAAAAAGTGTATTTTGGCAAAAGTGTGTGTATATATACATATAAATGAGAACTTATGTGTATGTCAGATCTTGACAGTCTGAGCATTTCAGTGTCCATGATCATAATTTATTATGAGGGTTTTTTTGTCGACAGTTTGACTGCTAGTCGACATGAGTTCATGAAGCTTTAAAGTTTCAGCTTACCAGTGTTTTCGCTTATTTATATGGATTTATTTTTATTTATTAAAGCACTTTCAAAAAGTGTATTTTGGCAAAAGTGTGTGTATATATACATATAAATGAGAACTTATATCTATCTATATACATAACTTCATGTTTGTGTAAGTGTGTGTGTTTATGAATGTATGGATCTATGTATGTTTCATACTATTCTCAAATGTGTAAATTTCAACATTACAACATTAATCATGCAATATTTTTGAAATATAATCCTAGTCACAATTATCACTCATTTTGACTCCCTTTACTTTCTTCTCTTACTCCAGGGTGGCAAGGTCCTGTTCCCGGGCCGGGCTGTGAGGTTTTCATCAGTCAGATCCCACGCGACATCTACGAGGACTGCCTGATCCCTCTTTTCCAGAGCATTGGCACTATTTACGAGTTTCGTCTCATGATGAACTTCAGCGGGCAGAACCGAGGCTTCGCCTACGCAAAGTACGGTGACCCCCTCACCGCCGCCTCCGCCGTCATGACCCTGCATCACTACCGTCTGCCGGAAGGGGGCTGCCTGATGGTGCGCAAGAGCACAGAGAAGCGGCAGCTGCGTCTGGGGGATCTTCCGACTAGCATAAATCAGCTGGAGTTGCTGACGGTGCTGCGAATGCTGTCTGACGGGGTGGAGGAGGTCCTGCTGAAGACGGCCGGGCCCAAAGGGAGAGAGGTTGTGGCTCTAGTGAACTACTCCTCCCACTACGCCGCATCCATGGCCAAGAAAGTGCTTGCGCAAGGTATGCCAGGGGATGGAAATATTTGGATTATTAACTGAAGGGCTATTATTTTAAAAGAAAGTAGTAGGTTGCATGTGTAGTATGTGAATTTGTAGTACAGTATATTTTATACACCGTGTAGTATGCATTAAGCAATACATCAGGGTTTATTCATTTTATTAATCTACTCGTGTGTGTGTGTGTGGATTTAATTTAATACTTTTACTCAAATGCATTTGATTGTGACCAAATAAGGTCTATTTTAAATAAATGCTGTTCTCTCAAACTTTATCAAAGAATCCTTTACAAAAAGTATCACGTTTTCCACCAAAATATGAAGCAGCTCAACTGTTTTTAACTGATAATAATGTTTCTTGAGCAGCAAATCAGCATATTAGAAGAATGATTTCTGAAGGATCATGTGACACTGAAGACTAGAGTAATGATGCTGAAAATACAGCTTTGACATCACAGGATAAATTGCGTTTTGTAATTTATTAAAATAGAACATTTTAATTTGATGTTGGAATGTTCCATAATCTTTTAAAATTCTAACGTCCCCAAAACTTTTGAACAGCAGCAATATATGGTATGAAATGCATAAATATTCAACATTTAGAAGCAGTTAGAAATTTAAAAAAATTCTCAAATGTTTATATGTAATATATATTTGCTTGTATTTGAAGATAGGAGGATGATGAAGTCATTGAATATATATATATATTTTTTTAAGACCAGTAAATGAGGTGGAAAAAATAGAGGATTGGTGCATCTTTTTAACAATATGCTGTCTTCTAAAATGTACTAATTTTATTTTTTATTTTTTTATTTTTTTTAAACTAAGAAAGTATTGTAACATTCAACAAAATATGTTGAAGTATTTATCTTTTAAGTTGTTTTTTTTCCTTTGTCTTTTCAGCTTTTAAGAAGCAGTACGGCATTTCTATTACCGTGAAATGGACGTCCTTCTCCAAGTCAAAGCATGTATCTGAGACCGGACAAGAAGACGGCACCTTTACCCCACCTGGTCTGAGTCCCCTCCCCAAACCCTCCATCACCCCTCCCCACCTGCACCCTCAGCCCTCCCTTCAGGATGTCCCAGCCCACCCCCCTCTCCAGTCCTTCTTCCGGGCCGTGGGGGGTCTGGCCGGTCCGCCGAGAGATGAGATGAAGCCTCAAGGCCCTGTGAACCGCGACGCTGTGTCTCTGCTGCAGTGGATGTGCGAGGTGAACCGACTCGGCACTCCTCAGTATGAAGTCCGCTTCCATCACGCCAGCTCCGACGGCTTCCTCTGCTTCAGCTACAAAGTCCTGATCCCGTGCTTTCTTATTCCCCTGTATGGGGTTATCCAGATCCTTCCAGGCCCCAGCATTCAGGCCACGAAGGAGGAGGTTTATCGAGCCGTCGCCGAGCTGGTGATCCAAACCATCTGTAAAGTCTCAAATGCGCGACCTTTCTAAAATTTGAGCTGTTAATGTAATGTAACGTTATCAGTTTTACGTTCAGTATTATGGTATTATGGTTTGAAGGCATGTACTGTTTCAGATGAATGAGTGGAAATGAATGATTAAACGAGTATTTAGTTTAATGTTAAAGGGAAAAAAAAAAGCCAATCTGGGCAGTGGATTTCTTTTCATTTTACAAGCTCTTGAATTCAGTGGTATGAAAAAGGTTTGAAGTATTATGTTCTCGTTGGTATAATGTTTTATGGTATTTTAACAATGCAATATTAATCATTTGTAATTTTAGTCAGCCTCATCACATTTGGATGATTGCATGTTTTCACAGCTTCTTATTTTGAGTGTTTTTCACGTATTTGATTTTTCACGATTTGTTTTGCGTGTTTGTCACGTTTGTTGACTTTGCATGGTGTGCTCTTGTTTCCTTGTTTGATGGGTTGTACTGACTAGAAATGACTTTTGTACAGTAAATAAGTTGTTCAAGAAATAATTTGTGTAGGCTCAAGTCCCTGATTATGACTTGGATATATTGCTCATACTTGTGGTAAGAAGTCAAAACATTCATGCAGAAAATGGCTACAGATATGAATGAGACCTTAAATCACATGGGTTAAGAGATGTCTTTCAAAAATTGTGATTTTTTTATATATTGACTAAAATAATCAATTCTTAATTTAATTATCATTTGGAAAAATTAGAACATTTTATTTAAACTGTAAAATTACAATTTGTCTAAGAAATATTACTACTGTAGTTAAAGATTTTTTTTTTTACTTTTTTTTTTTTTTTTACAATTATTACAATTGACTTAAAGGGGTCATATGGTGCGATTTAAATTTTTCCTTTTTCTTGAGTGTTACAAGCTCTTGGTGCATAAAGAAGATCTATAAAGTTGCAAAGACTAAAGTCTCAAATCCAAAGAGATATTCGTTATAAAAGGTAAGAGTCAGCCACGCCTACCTAAAACGGCTCGTTCTAACACGCCCCCACATATCTACGTCACTATGTGGGAAGATTTGCATAACACCGCCCAAATGTTCACATAAAGAAAGAAGGCGTAACTTTTATTCTCACTGTAGTATTGTTG